TTTTTTTGACAATGAGAACAAATTTAGACTCAATAGTAGAAAAAATTATCATTTTAATGGACAAATTCCATAAAAAAAGAGTCAAATGGATATCAAATTTTCAACATTTTCCATGGAAAATTATACAAATTAAACACAATTAATTACAGTTCCTAGTAAAACATTTTCTTAGAAAATCAATTCCCTGTAAAACATTTTCTTTCCACCCATTTTCCACCCTTGCAATCAAACGGACCCTAAATGAAAGTTTCTCTAATTATAATAATTAACCAATTAATTACGTTAATTGATATACAATATTTAAATCAATCATGCAGTCATATTACTAAGATTTAGTCAAGGAAAAATCTGCACATGTATAAAAGAAATTGCTCTGTGGTACTACACAATTGATCAACATTTAATTAGGTCTCCAAATAAAAAATAAAAAAACCTACTTCTAGCCTCTAAATTCAATTTTAATGGCTACCTAAGTGGTTTCTGGATGTTATAAAAGTAATATGCTGTTGGTAAAGTAAATTAACCATTTTGGGAAATCTCCAGAAGATATGACCTGTTCTAAATTGAAATCAATAGGATTGAACTTGTGGTCAGTTGATTATCCATATGCTAGAATTATGGGAATAAAGTCAAATCTTTACTATGGGAACAGCGACGGAGATATATAGTTTTTAGGAAATTGATTTTAGTCGTTTGGAAAGGTGCGGACCATACAGTGCATTATTTTTTATAATCGGAATAAAGAAATAAGAGTCTTGCAACTGTAGTAAAATGAAGAACCCCACTGCAGCAGGAAAAAAAATTAGAAGTGAGAAAAAGAAAGAGAGCAGTTTGTTATATATGAATAATACATTTATTTGTATGGAAAGAGTTATATGCTGTTAAAGAATTATGAACATAAAATGCTCAAGAATATAGTAATTTCAACAAAAACATGTTGAAAAACTTTTTATAGCATTTAATTATTTAAATTAAATACTTAGGAGGATTGATTGCAAAATGTATAAATTTTGATATAATACAACCCTGTTAAACAAAATTCTCGTGTAAGAAGTGTCTAAAGTGCTGACTGACCGAATATCTTCAATATATGATATAGCTGTGCTTGTGTTGATTTTTTAAAACTCTATATTTCATCATGGACATTGTTGTTACACATTGAACACGATATATCTGATGACCAACATAGTACATGCAGTAGCATACTGATGAATGGGAATTCAAGAATAAATTGAAGTTTATAAATTTACGAACTTCACAAAAGTAATTCACAACTTAAAGACGCATTCTCATCAATTGATCCTATATGCATGGACAATGTGTGTACATTTGTGGTTTAGCACTTGTATGATATATTATAGAACCTACAGGTTTCGAACACTCTTTGGCATGTGGCCTATATTTCTTCCCTCATATTTGGTCGCACTGAAGATACAATTAGAATATGTAATTTAGGGCACATTTGGTATGATTTGAAAGGAAATAATAATCTCAGGGCACTGGCATGTATGTGAAACTTTGGGGCTTGAGAGATTTTTTCTTGTAGTGTGGAAAGAGGAGAAATAACTAGCTAACCTTATTCCCAATAAACTTGGGAGTCCGTTGCATCAAACTTCTCCACTACTGTGTTCAATCCATGGTCACGTTCACCATCAATGACTATATTTGTTAACACGTATTGCACTTGGCTGGATTGGGTATCAATTTCATATGGTACATAGGACACATCTCAAATTTGTTTTGCTGACTTTCGTTGCAGGTATGCTGGGGACGGAAGTTCTGAGGGAGATAGCAGGGTAGACCAGACTTAGCTGCATGGCTTTTACTTAGTTTGACTGGACTATTGATCCAACAATATTTTCTGCCATGGATGAGCATTGATGATATGTAAGATTAATGTACGTACGAGCACATAAACACAACTAATGATTCTATGATTATTCTTTCTTATCTTTGATTTCACTCACTTTTATCCCTGTTTCAATTGTGTGTGTGTTCTACCAAGGGTCCGTTTGATAACCCTCATTTTTCATGAAAGTAGGAGTTTTTTTTCCATTTTCTAATTTTTGGCTTGTTTGATAGTACAAATTTTCCATGTAAAATTTTTCCCCCTTACACCCACACGTGCACATTTTCCATGAAATTGAGAAAATTGTTTTCCCACCTTTTAAGTGGGTTTTCATTTTACAGTTTTTTATTTATTTATTTGCCAATTGAAACAAATTCTAGATACAATGGTAGAAAAAAGTATCGTTATGGACAATTTTCATAACAAACGAACACCAAACTTTCAACATTTTTCATAAAAATTTATACCAATCAAACACATTTAATTACAATTCCTCGTAAAACAATTTTTTTCTATCCATTTTTCACTTTTGCAATCAAATGGACCCTAAATGTCATTCTAGGATTCTTTTCAGAGGGGGTGTGATAATTGTATGACATGGTGGTGATTATTTGCTTAACTTTCTTACACACTGATGTAGCAACTTGGTATTTTATGGTCAATGGAGTAGGAATGTTTTAAAAGTAGTCGGAGTTTAACTAATGTTGATGAGCAAAACTATCAATTTTTGTCGACTCATGGAGATTTCTTGCTCCTAGTATAGAGTTCTGAAACGCAGTTCGGTTAATGTTTATATCGGCTTTAGGCGAACATTTTTAATTATATTAAAAATTAGACTATTGATGATTGTCACGATTCTTAGGGCTGTTTTACATGGCTTTTAGGCGAACATTTTTAATTATATTAAAAATTAGACTATTGAAGATTGTCACGCTTCTTAGGGCTGTTTTACATGGCTTTTGGAGAATCAGAAGAACATTTATTTTTTTATTTTTTTTGCGCCCATTTGGCTTATATTTTGGATAATAATGTTGTTCATCTATCCTCCACGTGATCATTGGTGGATTTCAGTATCACGCTGTTCAATGAAGTTTTAATGTATTTTTAAACCTTGGACAATGTTGCAGCGATCCCATTGTCGTATTGATTGTCTATGAATAACATTTTCTTATTTTTGAAGTGCCTTTTGTTAAGAAAAGATTTTAGAGAAATCCAGTCCAAGGTGTTCCAAAATGGACCTTTACTATGGTAGAGAAAATGGTGTTTTTTGTTACCATTATGTGAAATTTAACTTTGGAAAGCATGCTATGCTATGTAAGTCACTTAAATATGCGTGGTGTATTGTGTAAATGACAAATATATAATAATTATAGTAACATTTAAAATTATTGTTATAATCTCTCCTCTCTCTCAAAATATTTAGCCCATATTTGGCATAGATTTTATGAAAAATGATTTTGTAGTAAAAAGGTAAAGAAAATTTATAAGTTTACGTATAAAATTATTTTATTAAAAGAATATGTGATTGAAAATGAGTTTAAAAAAAAATGAATTCTAGAAAATAGAGGCCAAATAGGAGTTAAAAATTATATTTTAAGTAGATTTTAATAAAAATTAATAAAAGTTGCGATTCAATATAATATGTGGTTAAAAACGAGTTCAAAAAATTGTGGCCAAATAGGAGCTAAATACTTCAGGAGATTCTTACTTTACATGAAGACATATAATAAATTATATATTTCAATACTCTGTTTATTAAATTATTCAAATTATAATTAAAGTGATTAGATATTACATTAAAAATATGAAAAATAAAAATGTAGAAATCAATAAATATTTACTGAAAAAAAGCAAAATAAAGATTTAGAGAGTCTTTTCAATATATTTTTATAGCCACATTTTAAAGCTATTAATTAAACTATTAAAACAGTTTTTCAATTTTTTTACTTCATGAGAATGAAAAAAAATTTAGAATAATGTTATGTGTACATCAATCATAAACAATTTGGTTGACATTTTCTCTATGTGCAGAAAATATGTGCAATGAAGTGATGAATGAGTTCAAAATCAAGAGTATAGATGTTGCTACGTGATAGAGTGTAATGAAAAGCGTCAAAGAAAGTATAAATATAGCAAGGTTGAAAATTTTAAAAATTATAATAAGTGTTTCGCGCGAATTGTCGCTAACAATTAAAAAGTGGATCAGACGATTGTGTAAGGAACAAATCTCTTGAGACAAAATCTCAAAAAGGGGTGCTTTATTGATGAAAGTTACAATTGGAAATAAAAAGAATGTCTTCAAGGGGCGCAAGCACACGAGTACTAAAAATGGATAATTAAAGTTAATCTAGGAAATTGAAATTACATATTCTCTGTTTGAGAGTGTTTGATTCGGGGTCCCTCTTCTCTATGTCTTCTCTTCTTTTTATACTTTTTTGATGATTTCTTCATGACAAACTGCTTGGAACTGCTTGTTTACTCTATAACTACCCACTTTTTGATGATTTCTTCATGACAAACTGCTTGGATCTGCTTGTTTACTCTATAACTACCCACTTTCTTCATGATGGCTTATTTGTCGCGGAACTGCCGTCTCTAACTGTTGTCATTACTTTCGTCGTTCAACCGCCTACAACTGTGATTTCATCGTGGGGTATGATAATGTTGTTCAATAACTGCTGCTCTGGATAACCATATTACCTTATGTTTGCTAAGATCCTGGGCGATTCGAAGGTTTGGGCGAGAATGGGCTCGTTCACTCTAGGCGATTTTAAGGTACTCTACTCGCTCAGATCTTGGGCGTCTTACAAGCTTGGGCAATGACGGTATTTTGTTCGTGGGCTTTCACTGCATTCATTGATAGTCCTATTTGGGCCTTCATCCTGGACTTCATAACTGGATCTTATCCCTTGGGCTACTCGATTTGGGCTACACTTTGTGTATGTCAATAATTACCCCCCAATATAGCAGAATTAATACTAATTATTAATCTTTACCATATTCTTTCTTTGTATTTTTCGGCAATATTTGAAATTCCCAAGAATTTCAATCATTATTTCCGTTTGATTGTAACCCTTCTATAATCTGAAAAAGGTGCAACGTTACAAACCCCCATAAACCCAAAAGACACGCCACTTTATCGCGTCATTACTTTCACGTCTAAAAAATGTGCGTTTACGAAAGTTACTGCTCATCGTCTTACTTCTCCACTACGCTTTTCAAGAACCTTCACCAAGAGCATAGTTTGTTGCAAATGGCGACTCCACAAACCTCTTCTGATAACAACCTCAGTTTTGAAGATTTCCAAAACCTCTTTGCCAGACCATATGTAAACTCGACTTTTCTCTCATTAGCTAACCCAGACCTCAATAAATTCTACCTGGGTCCATTGTTTAAAGACATTCAATCTATCGGAAAAGCGGCGGTGGGTCGGTTACTTCCTTGTACTCAAGATCCTCCTTTTCTGAATCCGTTTCCTTTAAAGCTGATCCGGGAACGACGTATTCATACTTGGCCTAAATCTGATTCTACTTTTCGTTTTTGGCATGCACGTTTAGTAAAACATGGCCCCACTAAAGTGATTTTTGATCGTGCTGGGATTTCAGACTTGCTAGAAATTACACCCCATCCCCTAATCTATGACTCGGTGCTTTTTTCGACCGCATTAAGTTTTTTGGTCTTCCGAATATAATACTTTTGTTTTTCCTCTGGCCCAATGTCCATCACCCTGAGGGATGTTGGAGCCCTTGTAAATCTTTCGCCCCTGGGCGATACCATTTATCCTGGCATTTTGGTCACTAGTACTGCCCCAAAGTTCGATAAAAAACTTACTGAGTCTTACTCGGGCATGCAAGGTCTTTATACTGCCTCTAGCTCTGAGCCTTCTCACATTGAGCGAGTAGCCTTTCTTCAGGTTTGGCTTTGTAAATATGTCCTTTGTGTGCCTAGAATGAAACCCTCAATGAGTTATTTACCCATCAGAAATGATCTAATGAGCATCGG